ACAAGGCAGGACTATGGGCGTACCCTGTAAAGAGGGGTTGTTCCACTCTGATATACAGAATAATCCAATGGGTGAAGAAATATTGATATTACAGGGTATATATACGTTGATAAAGTATCTACTTCCTTAATCTACTTGAGGCTGCACTTTATTAAAATACATATAAACATATATATATTTGCATGGCATTCTAATTTAAATAATATTTTCTCTGCTTGGCTAAGCTGCTTAGCTAATCTACATTGCAAGTTCATGGCAAGCTCACTGCAAATAGAGTGCAAATGCCGAATCGCATTTGTTTGCACATTTAAATATAGTATGTATGGTATGTATGGTATGTATGGTATGTATGCTTATAGTTAAATGGCTTGCTGGTTGGGTTATTTGTATTTGAATTTGTGTACGGGACTCGTTCATTTTGGCTGTGGCAATTTCACGGCTCAATTCGTGGCACAGAATGCCAGAAATATATTTGCCAAACAAATTAAAATTTACATTGATATCGGAAAGTTGTTGCAACAAATTTCACGGCATTCGCCATTGGCAAACAGCAGAGGAAGAGCGAGAGTGAGGGAGACAGTGAGAGAGAGAGATAGCAGCCGAAAACTGAATAAATACCAAAATGCAAGTGCAAATAAACAGAGCAAAGGATGCGAATGCAAATGACGGCCACAACAACAGCGGAGAACAAAGAGCAGAGTCGACAGGCGGTTAGCAAACGGAGCTGCGTGTGGTGTGGCACAATTTTTAGGCACTGTACGTGCCGCGTTGCCAACTCCCGGCTTTGCTTTATTCTTACTTTATTTGATGAATTTCTTTGGCTTTCGCTGGCAGGCTGGCAGGCTGGCACTGTGGCACGTCGCCCGCCTGGCAAACTCCAGCAAATGGCAATCAAATTTCGCTTGGCTGCCGTTGCCATTGCCATTGCCGTTGCTGTTGCTGTTGCTGTTGCTGCTGCTGCTGCTGCTGCTGCTGTTTAAATAAACCCAAAGCCAACTACAAAGCTTATCTGGATGAGAAACTAATGTGCACATGTCAAGCTGTCTGGCAGCTTGGATATTTATCTTGATTGCCCTTTTTCAGCTGTTGTGGCAAGTTGGGGACAACAGTGCGTATGATTTATTTGAATTGGTTAGATAAAAAGTTTAATTGGATTTCATGCAAATTGCAGCTTCGCATTGCATTTATGCACTCTGGTTTAATTAAAAGCTGCTGCATTATTTGACTTTCGAGTGCTTGCAAAAATTATGGTTAATTGTGTTTAGCCAGCCAAAGAGAGACAGAGTGAGAGAGAGAGAGAGAGAGGAGAGAATCTCTTTTTCTGGATATATATGAATATTCTGGATTCGGCATGGCATAAATTAATACGCACAAGTTTCTGGGCAACCAAATCGAAATGGCCAGCTCTAATTACTGACTCCGTTTGAACTACTGCGACAGTTCGAAGTTCAATTACTGGCCAAAATGCCAAAAACTCACACAGGCACATAGAGGCACAAGCACAAATACAAATGCAGCAACTATTGTCTCTCTATTGCCTTGGAGTCAAATCAAAAATAAACTTTTCAATTACAAACTTTTTAACTACAATTTCCAATTACAAGGGATACGGCCAGTTGCATTTTGGCCCAATTCAAACACGTTTGGACCAAAAACAAAACCCCCAAAAACCAACAACAACAAGGAAAAAATGCAAACTATCTTCTTTTGTTGCTGTAAATTCCTTGAGTGTGTTAGCTCACTTACTGTGTAAATCGTGCTCTCTGTGGAAATTGTTGCTCGCAAAGCTGGCAGCAAACACTGGGGACTAACAACAGTTAACCAAGAACGCAAATTTATGAGCTAGCTAACAGTAAGCATCGATACATACAACTGCCAGGTAGTAAATAGTAGCTGGAGGTCACACACACAGACGAACACATACACATGCATACCATTGGATTGCGTTTTTGTGGGTAATCATAAATTACGATTGGCATGCGGCTCAAGTGGCCAAAATCGAAGAAATTCTCGTCCACAGACAACAAAGCAGGCAACTCTACAAAAAGTTCCGGGCACATAAATCGAACGCATTGAATTATGAAATGCTGTGCGGTCTGGGCGTGCGGCATATAGATTTACGCTTGACAAATGCTCAAATATATATGAGCGGGCATTATGACAATGCATAAATTGGTAACATTAATTATTAACTGGGCAGCGAAGCGCAACTAATAAACGAATGAGCAAAACAAACGAAGCCAATCCATTGGGGAGGGAGAGCAGAGCTGAAAGCAGAGCTGAAATAAGAAAATAACTCAGCTCGAGCGGAATCATAAATTTTGTGGCTAATTAATTTATCGGCACTGGGATTTCCTCGGTTTGCCACAAAATTTGGCTGGCGCGTGGCATTAAGTGGCCAAGCATTGAGTATACGCCCCGTGCGTCAGCATGAAAAGCAACAATAAGGGACAAACAACAAAGCCTTGCATAATTTTGGGCGACATAATTTAATTACATGCCATACAGATTTAAGTACTCAAAAGCATTGCATACTTTTGCGCGCTGCCTGTAAAATTATTTTAAGCTGTCAAAAACTGTTGCATACTTTTGGCGGCAGCATAAAATGTTAGCAAACAAATTGCTCGAATGACAATAACATAATACATGCATTTAGGACGCATGTTTTAAATTAACACCAGCACAAACACACACAGACACACACACACACATACACTTCTAAAGCGCATTTTCAACATGTGTTTTTGTTTATCGACAACTTCCTTTTAAATAAATTGCTGCAGTTCAGTTGGAGGCCATCAACAATGTCGTGCGCCTGTCCGAATTGTGGTTTTTGTGCGCATGCAAATTAGAAATGCAGCCAAAAATGTAAATTTGCCTGGTTTTGTATAATTGCACGGCTCATACAATTCTAAACACATACCACACACACAGGCACACACACACACATTCACGTGCGAAATGCATCAGGGAAAGAAACGACAAACCGTAAAACGGCACCACAAAATGAAACTTTTTAGCTTAAGTAATTTTCGTGTGAAAATAATTCATTAAAATTAGATTAAAACGCTGCACGGAAACCGAACAAACCGAAAAAGAAAAAAAAAAAAAAAAATGAAACTAGAAAATAAGAGAAATGGAGAAGAAACGTAAAACTCGAATGTGCTGCACATTTTGCCAAATGATTTCTTAATGCAATTTCTTCAACGTTTGTTTTGGGCCCGGTTCATGAGACCGGATGCTATTGTTGCTCTTAAAGCCCACACGCACACACACACACATACGCTCGGCTTAGCCGGAAAATTCGGGGTAGAAAAAAGCAAAAGCACATAAAGAATAATAGCAGAAGCAAGGCAAAAAGTTGTCCCATTTCATATTGTTGTTGCTGTTGTTGTTGTTGTTGCTCTTTGTTTGGCTGATGTGCGAATCAGAAGCAGCAGGCAGCTTCCGGCGTTGTCTTTTGTTGAAACATCCACCTAGCTGAGCCCGGCTCAGCGCTCCGTGCACACATACTTAGCTGGCAGGTTGAACGCGTCAGTCCATGAGCAAAACTGCTGAGCAAAACTTGTACAGTGGAGTAGAGTTGAGTGGAGTGGAGTGGAGTGGAGTGGAATGGAATGGAATGGAGTGGCATGGAGTGGCGTGAATTGGAGTGAAATGCACTATTCTATAGATCCTCGAGCATTGTTTATCTACCGTTGAGCCAAATGAAAAATAAACGCCATGAATGTGGCTCTAGGAAATGGCAAAGCTCCGGTTAACCCTTTTTTTATTCGCTCGGCTGCCACCCCCCGTCCACTGTAGCTATGATAAATATTTATCAAACAACTGTCATGGGGCTGGCAGCACTTAAGGTGTCAAAAAGGACACACAGGACAATATGCTATAGCCGCAAACTCAAGTAGGACACGCTCAATAATGAAAGCGAAAAGCAAAACCAAAAGCGAACAAAAAGAAAGGAAAAAAAGAAAAGCAAAATTAATTTGCATATGTTAAGTGGCAGAAGCAATTAAAGGCGAGAGCACGATAAGGCTGAGCCGCAGCAGCAGCAGCAGGAGCAGCAGCAGGAGGAGGAGCAGTTGCTGTTGCCAGGACGCGGTTGATTGAGATGTGAAAAGGCGCAAACGATGCCAAACGGCACAAAGAACGTCGAGGGCCCCAAAGCTTGACTGCGCGACCCTTACGGTGGGAAAAATGGAAAATGGGAAATCATAATTGGCTTCCAAATGCTTGAGCTCAATTATGTGAGCAAATTGTGGGAGGCTGCTGTCGTTGACAGGCAAATTATGGATTCAAGGCCAACGCATAAGCATACAATATAATATGTACATGGCACACACACACACACACACACACACAGGCACACTTGTGTAAACATGTATGTATGCAGGGAAATCGCACTTTCACTTTGGGTAAGATAATTTGCATAGCATTTCCAGAAGGGAAATGCCACTGGGGCATGAGCAGCGGCTTGCACTTGAGCGGAGATCACAGCCAGAGACATGATAAATTGCTCAAGCACAAATTAAATATATAAATCATAGCGCTCACACACAGGAAATTCAAGCAAACGTATTCCGAATTGCGGCCAGAGTCTCCAGAGCAGTCCGAATTGAGTCCAAATTCAAGCACTGGAACATTGCTGCGTCATTTGCATGCAAAGGTGGCCTGACAGATAAGAGAATTTCGTCAGTGCAAAACAATGAAATAGAAATTTATGCTAATGAAACTCAAGAGTTACCCTTTATTAAGTTATTGTTTATGTGAGAGAGACAATATGAAGATAAATATTTTCTCTTAAAAAAGTTAATTAAATTGCATAATATACATAAACATATTAATATAAGATCATGATCCCCATTGATAACATTTATCCAATAGCAATGAGCTATCAGTCAGCATCAATTCTTCTAAAGAGCTTATCATTATAGATATTATATCATATATCGAATCTGCTCATAATTATACGCTATCGATAATTATGCATGCTCAAGCAAATAAAAAGCTCAAAGCAATTATAAAAAGAATTAAAACAAATAAATAATAATAATAATAATAATAAAAAATAAAAATAAAATTTATAAACAAATCTCAACTTGAGTCATATTTCAAGCTAATACAACTCTGCCCCATAGATAGGGTATTCTTTTGTGAAAATATAGTTTTATCACTTATTTACATTTCCAAACTGAAAGAATAGTAGAGAGCTAAGCCATATACATACATACATACATATATACATATGTATATGTATATAATTTGTTCTGTCACAAGTTCAAGTTTGAAGCATTTGAAGGCCACGCCTAGGCACAGAGGCTGAGAGCAGGAGTGGGAAGTACGTGTCGTTCAGTTGTTGTGGAACCAGCAAGCCGAGAGCAGCCACGATGGACAGCAATGAGGTAAGTGAAGTGGAAAATTCGTTTCAAGAGTCACGTGCTAATCGCAGCGAATTCCGTAAACCTCACGGCAGTTTATTGACTTTGACATAGGCGCGCCGTGGGGCCACATCGCCTGCCGCTGGTACGGCAGCCGTCAGGTGCGTCCGCTGCTCGCCATTCACGGCTGGATGGATAATATGGGCAGCTTTGCACGTCTTGTCCCATTGCTGCCCGGCCATCTGGGCGTCCTGTGCATCGAGCTGTCTGGCCACGGTCGCTCCTCGCCGTATCCGGCTGGCATGCAGTACTCCGTCATTGAGTGGACCAGCATCATTCGCTGCGTGGTGTTGCATTTCAAGTGGAAGCGCGTCTCGCTGATGGGCCACTCGTTTGGGGCCATCGCCTGCAATCTGTATGCCTCGTTCTATGGCCGGGATCACGTGGATATGCTGATTGCCATCGATCTGCTGACCATACCCTACAAGAGCAGCAGCTTCTACATCAACTACCTGGCCAACAGCGTGGAGCGCATGCTCACGCCCACGCCAGCGCCCAAGCTGTATACCGCGGATCAGCTGAAGAACGCGCGCTGGGGTCCAGCTCCCTCGATCAGCAAGGAGCAAGCTCATCCACTGATCAATCGCTGCGTGCGGCAAGCGCCCGATCAGCCCGAAAAGTTCTACATATTCCGCGACTCGCGCCTCATCCACCACTCGCTCTTCCCACCCGGCACCGGGCTGGTGAGGGAGCTGAATCGGCGCATACGCAACATACCGTACATGGTCATCAAGGCAAGCAACTCCAACTTCATCAACGACGGCTTCATACCGACCTTCGAGATTCTGCGCAAACAGAATCCCGCCTTCGAGTATCATTTGGCACAGGGCCCTCACCACGTGCTCATCAGCGATCCCCAGCAGCTGGCTGCCTGGATTGTGCCATTCATAAACAAGCATCGACCGCCCACTCGATGGGAGCATCCAGGCGAGCTGAATGTGATCAGCAAGCTATAAAGCCTTCAAGAATTGAGCTTAACATTTCATTCTCTTTTCGACACAAGTTCTGGGAATACACATAAATATCTTAAATATTCCAATTGATATTAATATTATAGTTTATATGTATATACGAATAGCAATCCATAAATCTTTTCTATATATTGTATCACATCGTCTTTATCTCTTTCCATCTCTTAGCTAGGTTCACATGGATAGACTTGCGGTAGGCTTTGGCATCTGTAGCACTGAGATTATTTAAAACAAGCTTTTGGTTTCAGTTCAAAAGACACAATATATTTCCATTCCCAGAGAGAAAGTTGGACAAGCACTTTAAAAAGTCCCATAAGATAAACAGCAGCTGATTTCATTCATTTCTTTTTACGCTTTTTGCGATCAACTTTGAGCTTTTGAAAGCTTTTGCACTCTGCCCAAGCCATGGGAAGCTTTTCATTGTCAGTGTTTGACCAATTGCTTGACTTAAAAGAAGTAACAGGTTGGCGAATATTTTTTGCAAAAGTTGTTGAAAAAGAAAATAAATAAAATATACATATTTATATTTATATATGTATGTAGCTCTGCAAATCACAGCGATAATATAGCTCCACGAGATAATTTTGGCAAATTATTTTATTTAAAAGAGCAGAACCCGCTCTTCCAATTCCACGAGGTGCCTGGCACCCATCACGTGCATCTCGTTAACCCAGAGCTGGTTGCCCAGCACATAGTTCCCTTCTTGAGGACCCATCGCCCGCCCAAGGTCTCCAGCTGGTCAGTGGATGGCGAGAAGAAGTTGAGCACGACAGAGCATCGCAGGCAGCAGGAGAACTTCTTTGCACGACATGTGAGCCGTCTCAGTAAGATCTAAATCTGAGAGAATCTCAAGAATACTGCACAGTATATATTGACTATAAGGTAAATCCAAAAGAAAATTTAAAAAATTGGGATTTTATTAATGATAATCTCTGAAGTGAAATTTATTTTTGGATATTTGTCTTGGTAACTGGATAATTAAATTCGTAGACACTGCATGGCATAGCCTTATGTCTTTTGCACATTTTTTTAACTGTATGAAAATTCAGCTTTTGAATTGCTACAGCTACAAAAACCGTTACAAGCTTTAAAGTAATATTTTACAGCTTTCGAATAATACAAATTATTTCTACTGAGCAGCTGTAACGCAAAGTGAGCAACAGCTGATTTAGTTTGTTTATAGCACGGCAAACTAAATCAGCTGTGGCTTGAAAAAGCTTTCTACTACAGTTGCGATCGAAAATAAGCTTTCGAATGGTACACAAACGCCGCAAAGCTTTTTGCGCTCAGTACGCGACGAATTTTCTTAGCGAGAAGAGAAGGCGGATTAGTTGTATTGCTTTTGCGGCATTCATTAACTGGGAATGGTACGATGTTCATTAAAAAGTACTAATTGCTCGTCGATAAGGCAATCTAGAGCCAGATAATTAGGAAAAACGTTTTGCAGCTCCGAAACAAGCAGCCAAGACATTTATAAACAGACGGCCAAAGTTCAGGGAGCCACATGGGAACTTTGTCACTGAGCGACGTGAGTAAACACAATTAAAAGCTTCAGCCGGCTGGCTGGCCATGCAATTTACGTTGTTTATACACTGTTCAACATGAAAACGTTTCCTCTGTGACACTTGATAGTACGAGGATGTGCGCATCTGGGCTCCTTGGGGTCACATTGCGGGTCGCTGGTATGGCAATCGATCGGAGCGTCCCATTCTGGCCATCCACGGCTGGCTGGACAACCTGGGCACCTTTGACAGACTGATACCCTTGCTGCCGGACTACCTGGGCGTGCTCTGCATCGATCTGCCCGGACATGGACGCTCCTCACGGCTGCCGCCGGGCATGCACTACAGCACAATGGAGTATGTCCTTGTCATAGCTCGCGTCATGAAGGAGTACAAGTGGCAGAGGGTTTCGCTGATGGGCCACTCCCTTGGCGGCGTCTTGAGCTACATTTACACCGCACTCGCGCCACACACAGTGGATCTGGTTATCGCATTGGACATTCTCTTGCCGCCATTCGAGTCGCCTATGGCTCTCAAGTATTTCGGTTATGCTTTGGACAAGCATCTGGTGGAGGATGAGCGTGCGGAGGAGGATTCGCTGCATGAGCCACCGTCCTATACACTGGCACAGCTCCGCACTGTCCTCAGCAAGGGCAGCAACCATTCGGTTGCTCCAGAGTTCGCTCAGCATTTGTTGCATCGCAGCGTGGCCAAGTCGCAGCTGTATCCAGAGAGATTCTACTTTTCAAGAGATGGCCGCACCAAATACTATAATATTCTACCGGTCAACGGCCCCTTGGCCGCTGAATTGGCTAAGCGCATCAAAAATAAACCCTACCTGGTCATCAAGGCATCCAAATCCCATCACATCAACTCAAAGGCAAACGAGGCCATCTCCATCCTAAGCAAGCAGAACCCGCACTTCGAGTACTACGAGGTGCCAGGCACCCATCATGTGCATCTGATCAGCCCCGAGCTGTGCGCCCAGTACATAGTTCCCTTCCTGAGACACCATCGGCCGCCCCCGGTTTCCTGCTGGTCGGTGGATGGCGAGAAGAAGCTGAGCACAACGGAGCATCGCAGGCAGCAGGAGAACTTCTTCACGCGACACCTGAGGCGTCTCAGCAAGCTTTAAGTATTGTAATTGTAATTGACAAGAAACCTGTACAGTATATACTGAATCGATAAATACTCTGTGAAATTCATGGAAAGCTTTTTCTTCAAGTGTATGCCCTCAGCTGAAACCAGGGCTGCAGATATGGGGTTAAATCAAGTACCTACATCTGATAAAGGTACTCAAACAATAATACTATATAAATAGGCACGAACTGTGATAATCATCGTCAAGAGGGCAGCTTTTTGAATTCGTTTTGCTGTGGCATTGTAAAAGCTTGATTAGTCAGCATTATGGGCTAAGAATAGTCAGTTTCATTGATTTAAATGAACAGTAGATATTAACTAATTAAAATCCAGTGCTTATCGAATCCATTGTTCTTCATAGTAAAGATAATAGAATAGAACCCCGGGCGGTTTCCATATAAGCAGCTAGTTTCAAACAGTCAGCAAAGGCCATCGCAGCTACCATGGGAACGCTATCATTGAGCAATGTGAGTAAGGCGAACTGAACCCAACTGTTTGGTTGGGGATGCTTGACAATTCATGTGAACTTTGGAATTCCATAGTACGAGGATGTGAGCATCGAGACGCCCTGGGGTGAGCTCAGCGGTCGCTGGTACGGCAATCGCTCGGAGCGTCCCATTCTGGCCATTCACGGCTGGATGGACAATCTGGGCAGCTTTGATAGGCTGATACCCTTGCTGCCGGACTATCTGGGCGTGCTCTGCATCGATCTGGCCGGGCACGGGTGCTCCTCTTCACTGCCGCCTGGCGTGCATTACAGCGCAGACGATTGGATCCTAACCATTGCACGAGTGATGAAGGCGTACAAGTGGCAGAAAGTATCGTTGATGGGCCACTCGCTTGGCGGCATACTGAGCTTTATTTTCACGGCCCTGGGGCCGCACAGGGTGGACCTGCTGATCACACTGGACGTACTTGTGTCCCCATTGGAATCTGCTGAGAGCATCAAAACAATGGCCAACTTCATGGAAAGGCATCTCGTGGAGGAGGAGCGCGCTGCCCTGGCTGGGTTGAGGGAACCGTCCACCTACTCACTGTCTCAGCTGCGCCATATCCTTAGTAAGGGGAGCAGCAATTCGGTGCCGCCGGAGCTTACTCATCACTTGATGTACCGCACTGTGGCCAAGTCCAAGCTGTATCCAGATAAGTTCTACTTTACGAGGGATGGGCGTACTAAGTTCTATTCCCTCCTGCCGATGAATCCAGGGCTGGCAGCCGAGCTGGCACGTTGCATCAAGGACACGCCCTACCTCGTCATTAAGGGCTCCAAGTCGTCCTTCATCGGGCCAGCCAGCGATGAGGCTATTTCCATTCTGAAGAGTCAGAATCCGCACTTTGAAATCTACGAGCTGCCTGGTGCTCACCATGTGCATCTCACCTGTCCCGACCTTTGCGCCAAGCACATAGTTCCCTTCCTGAGACGCCATCGGCCGCCCAAGGTGGAGGGCTGGTCGCTGGCTGACGGAGATGCCGCCCTCAGCGCCCGGGAGCACCGCGAGGCGCAGGAGAGCTTCTTTGCAAGGAGTCAGTATCGACAGCATAAGCTGTAAGAGGACGCAAGGGAAATGCCCAATCGGCAACTGCGAAAAGTGGCGATAATATGGATGATGCTAAGAGAGCACTGGGGAGTACATAAAGATGCATAAGCATGCAAGGAAACGTGAACTTAAATATATAAAATACCTGGTTAAGATGCCAAGCTTTTCACTTAGATTCGCTGTACAGAGGAGCTCTACAATTTGTTGGCTTTTCTATTGGTGGGTATATGTGTAAGTGCGTGTGTGTGTGTGAGTGTTGCAGCAAGTTTAAGCTGCTAAGCGCCTTAGAACAATTAGCCAAGTCAGCTTTGAATGGCAACGCTTTGACTTACCAAAGTTCAACATGAAACAAGAAATGGCTGACATCCGGCTTAACACATAAGCCCGAAGATATGAAATTTTCGAATTTTCCGAAGGCTGACAGGATAGACATTGAACAATTAACCACATAGACCTGCAGGCACTTAAATAACACGAAATGTAATCAATTGCAAGCTGATGAGCATTTGAGAAGAATCATTTCATTGTTGGCGTGACAACAAAAGCGTTGCCTACTTTTCGGCGGCAGCGGCAAATATTAATTTCTCGCAGCCGCAAAACATTTTCGTTGCCTACTTTTAGGTGGCGCTTAGTAACGTGGAACGAAAGCAGAAAGAGGCGCGTGCCTTACTTAATTTGAACAATTGCGATAATACACTGTAAAATGTATTTTAATTAGGCTACATTCGAGTTGGCTAATTTGTATAACAGATGCAGAGTTTTATTGGTATGAATAGTTGAACAGTTCAAGTCAAAGGATTGCTTAAATAACAAGTAGAAATACTTTATAAGTAATTTAGTCAACTCAACATCAATCACTCAATATATTGCTTTAACTGACAGGGTATTTACCATTCGCATCATCAATACGCTTCATTTCCTCTGCTGTGCGTGTGTGTGGCAGCGTCTGGCGCGACAGCAGCTGCCTCAATTGCTGAATTCCAAATAAGTATTTGCTTTCGCAGCGCATAATTTTCTTGTCATACATTTTGATTGCTGATATTAATATTTATGCTTAAAGTTCCGCCGTAATTGCACGGAAAATTCAATCAATTAACAGACAAATTTCTCGCATATTTTGCGTACGTTGATTAAACAACAACAATATGAAAACACTATCGATTTTACAATTTGCCAGCGTCTCTCTCTCTCTCTCTCTACTCTTCCTCCTCCCGCTCCCTCACTCACTCACCCACTCTCATCGCCGCAGGAGGTCGTCGTGTGTGCCTAGCTGAAGCCATAAACGCTTAGGCATGGCATGGCATATGCCCAGATTTTTAATTTAAGGGCCCCGCAGCAAGCAAACCTGACAGCTTTTATGACGAGCAGCGTTTTCGTCTACATTTCGCCGAAATTCACGCAGCATTCTTTTAGGTGCGCGTGTATTATATTAAGTTTGCCAAAAAAGGAAATTGAAAATTTGGGGCTCAATTTGCTAAGCGACTAAACGACAGCCAATCAGGCTTAAATCGAAAGTTCAATAGACTTTGGCTGGATTTGGCTGGCAGTGAAAGACAGTTTCAGGAAGAGAAAGGATCTATAAACAGCAGGAGTGCAAGAGAAGGAGAGGGGGAGAGGAAGTATCTGAGTAGAAAGCTTATTAACCGCACCTAACTCTACACCTATATTATCTGAGAGGGAGAGTTTACGTGTAAATATAGACAAGCTAAGAGCTCTTTCTGCTCTCTGAATTCTAGCATTAAATTATCGCAAGTTCTCTTTAGCTCACCGTTGCAAATCTATGATGAACGATCTATAAAGAGAGAGAGAGATAGAGAGTTCTATAGATCTACTGTTTATAGAAATTGAATTAAGCCTAAATAAATATCAGGGAGAGAGAGAGAGAGAGTGAGAGAGATAGAGTGTTTCATAAGCAAATCTCATTTCATTGATTCCACAACCATATCAACTCTTTAAAGGAATTCAATTAGGCCTAGGCAAATAGCATTAGACTTTAGCTCTCTCACACACACATACACACACATGCACACTCGCTCGCACGCACGCATCGATGCCTTGCAATGAAATGGAAAAAAAACCCTTAAGCCAAATGAATTATGCATGTTAAGGCCATCACATTGAGCAGCAGCAGCGATAGCTGGCCGCTTAATAAACTGCAACTGGAGCCGGTGCTGCTTAAAATTCTAGTTGTGCAGCTCTCGACGCAGCAATAAATCTGAAATTGCACTCAATTGCTGCAGAGCATGCAACGCAGTTGCAGTTGCAGTTGCAGTCAGCGTCGCTGCCAGCGTCGACGTCGACGCAGACGTTTGTTTAAAACGTGCGCGCAATTTTCGCAATTTTCTAATAGCCACAAACGCATTGAGCCAGAGTCGGAAACAGTTGGGCGTGCAGTGCTACTATATTGAGGCTCGGTTATTAAAAAATGGAGAGAAAAACTGGTAAAGGAAAGGGAAAACAAGCCGAAAAACATTTCACGTACGTTACGTTTACCGAGCTGCATATGGAGGGGGTTTTTGTTTTGCAACTTGACCGGAAGTGCTTTGGACGCCATTTTGCGGTCAGCTTTTATGGCCAGTATGCAGTGCAATTGAGAGTGCAATGTCGGCTACAAACTATACGCCGAGCTCCTTGAATGCCCTTTATCAGCTACGTGCCCATTTAACCCATCACGCGCTTTAACATCCATCTCCGACCAAAACGAGAGAGAGAGATATAAAAAAAATGGCAAAATAACGCGCCTATGCTAGAAAATTGCCAATAAATTGTTGCTAAGCAGCGACTGCGACTGCTGCTGCTGCTGCTGCTGCGACTGCGGCAGAGGCAGCGCTCCTGGCCATGGGCTTAGGCAACAGCTTTGGCTGCGTCACGGCTTCGCCCTTGCCGTCTGCTTGCTGACGCAGCAGCCATTTGCCATTTGCATTTTCTCGCCATCCATCGACCCACATTCCGGGCCGGCCATTAAGTCCTGCTACAATTTACTTGTGATTGACATGTTTATAAGGGTCGCACAGCAGGACCTTTGCGGCGCTGGCCGTGAGTCCTTTTTCCGTTTCCCTTTTCTAAGGGGATTGCTGCTCGGTTGACGCTGTTGCCATAACAAGTGAAGCCTACAAACTGGTCTTCGATGCCAGCGCCATAAATCTTTGATATTTGCACTGTCCAGAGCATACTAAATATCCTTTTGCATTTGCAAGTGCTTTATAGAGACAGCAGCGGCCAGACTTCGAATTCCACGAATCCCATACGCACACACAATTAAAAGTTCCCACGTTTGCGGCCGCATGAATAAAACAACAAGGGTGAAATGCCAGATGAGTGGAGCTCATACAGACGATTGCATACGCTAACCATCCAGGAGAGATGATGAATTAAAGATTGAGATTGATAATTTTGGCATGGGTAGATGTGAGGAAATGGGGATTTTACTGAAATGGGGATTTTAGAGAAGCAATAAAAGCAGTAGTTGTAGTAGTAGTAGTAGTAGTAGTAGTAGTAGTAGTAGTAGTAGTAGTAGTAGTAGTAGT